TCCTTTTTTTTATCGAAATGTATTTCCTGAAAAATAATCTGCTTTAGATCAAATGTCAGCTTTCTGTGTGGGTGGGTGAGGGCGATGTGCTGGGGTGCGCGTGCACATGCACGTTATTTAAGGTCGCATTAACATCTGGGCTATTAGTGACCACTTTTGGAATTACGTTATGGTAATTGTGAAGGTGACATGATATGCTGGTGTTACGGGGTGAAAGGTGAACATAAATACAGCCATTCAAACGGCGGGATTCAATCCCGCGGTACTTCCATCCGAGATAGCTACGACACTACTGCCTTAACGATCTCGGCCATCTGGACAACAAAACTCATCTTTGTAACAATATTTAAATACGTTTTGAGAAAATTTTATATAAAGGAAATGTGACCAGTGAGAATGTAATGCATTCAGTTCTGAAGATTTTTCCTTGTAATTCAAATACAAAACTAGTTATAAACGTGTAATTTTTATGTATATGGAGAAATATGTACTTCGAATTTATATTTTTTTTAAAAAAAATGCATTTTTTAACTTAGGTTGCAATATCTACCTTATTAAATTTATAATTTGAACAAATCCTTCTCTTTAATTTTATCATTTTTTAAATTATTTTATATGATTTTTATTATATTATTTATTTATTTTGTGTCTGTCATGTGGGTAAAGTTGTCAATCTTATAACAATGTTGAATTTGATCTGGAAGTAACTAAACAAATCTTATGATACTATTGGGAAGATGTGGTTGACCGGTGGTCTTGGAAATGAAAAAATAATCATCATTGTTATTACATTTGTGAGTAGTTTGGACTTCATAGCAAACGTTTATCATTTTTTCAGTCAGCTTCAAATATCATGGATATTGTTTCTAATCAGGGTAATGCGTTTCTAATCAGAGTAAATCTATGCATGGTTAATATCTGAACATCGTAGAGATCTGCTCAAAAAGTCTCATTTTGAATGAAAAGTGAGCTTTGATAGTAAAGTGTGTGCCTAAGTGGATTGTATTGTTTCTGGGTATTTTGTCCATTACCAGTATCTAAATGATCATTTATTTTGTTGTTCTGACATCATAAACATGATTTTATTTTCTTGCAAAACAAAATTTAAAATATTGCTAATTCAATATATGTGTATCAAAATATGTCAAAATGTGACAAGTTCAGGAAATGCCAACATAGAACATTTGCTAGTGTCATGCATTGTTTGCCTATCTTGAATATGTCCAATAACATGCTCAAACAAATTTTGCCAACATTTCATTGCATGCATGTGTATAATGGTTTATTTGTTCACCTTGTAATTTTGTGGTGTGTGACTGTACTAGTTATAAGCATTTGCATGAAAGCATATACATTTTTGAAGTATGTAATGATGTGGAGTTTTTCAAATATACCTTCAGAATGTGTAATTACTCTTTTGTTAAAGAGAACTTTACCAGTTTGTATTCGTAATACAGTACCATGTTGAAAAGGCACAATTTTTTTGTACCAGGTGTGCGTAGTTTCCAAACTCTCCTTGATAAATAAATTTATTTTCTTTATGAGTTGCACTATTTCCACTGGCTAAAGATAATAATCTTTTTTGATTATGCAAAGTATTTCTAACAAGGATAGGTCAAAAATATCATGGAATGGTTTTGAATAGCTATTTCTCATTTACATACATTTACCTGGCCAATGTACAAAAATATGGAAATACCTTTCATTGCTAAATTTGTAATTCATTTTTATTTATTATTCAGGAAATGAAAATAGATTTTCAGCATGTTAATGAATTGTACAGTTTGGTAAATTTGGCTTGTGAAGTAATTTTGTGTGTTCGGATATATGTTGTTGTTTAATTTATTTTTCAGTGTTGTGTGCAATTGAATGCTTTTGTGTACTTACTGAAGTTGTATTAAATAGTTTGTTTGTTTATATGTGATCGTATATTACAAATTTGTTTTGTTAATCTTTTAGAAAAAAAATTGCTTTTAAATTTTGTAGTGGTGGAGATGCATCAACACCTTCCTCTGCACCTTTGAGTCCAGTTGAACCGAAACCTGTGGAAAGGCAAGTTGAAGCTAGACCGGTGGATGATGGCCAAGGAAGTATGGTGCGATGTCTTTATTTTGCCAGAACATATATCATAAGTGGTGAGTGAATTATTATATTTTTATTTTGTGTAGGCTTATTGACGTTCTGGAAAAAATGTGTTCCATTGATTTCTTCAGTCTTGTTGGCTTTTCAAAAACAAATATCTGTTCAGATTTTATGGAAAGTTGTTGGATTTTAACCATCTCATATTACCACCAAAATGTATTTGGTATATACTATTTAGTATAGAGAAAATATTGTAGTGCAGTGGGAAAAAGTGCTGATTTTTTGAGTCCTTGATATGAACTGATATTTTTTGCTTTCATTGTTTTCTCAAATATTTAGAGTAGTTGGAGTCTAGTTTATGTGGATCTTTGAAACTGAAAATATGGTTTTCAGGGAAACATCCTTCCGGCCTACTGACCGGTCGACCTTGAACTACCTATACATATACAGGAATTCACCAAAATCTATTTGGCTAATGTCGCTGTTCCTTGAATTCACAAATTTTTTCACATTTTTGTATTGAACCTATAGATTTCATGATGCACAGCATTTCTCAATATTAGGTCTTTAAATAGTTTAATGTGTAAGTTTTTTAAATATATGTAGTTTGAAGAAATTTTAAAATGTTGAAATTTGGAAAACTTCACAAAGCGCCATGCTGTGTTGCTCTGCATGGTGCATTTCAGTAGATGAACTGATAGTGCTAAAACTTTGTATTCTGCAGGTCATGGAACTGATTCCCAACATTACCAAGGCATCATTTTTATTTCTGAAATTTTCTCCCCTCAAGTAAAGCAATATGTGCTTATAAATGTGGTAAACGGCAAGTTCCATTAAAGCCTCTGAAATATCAAAAGTTGCATATGTTGGAAAATTGCTAATAGGAATCTGTCATGCTTCTTTTGCTGCAGAGTTTCATGAGATTGCTGAAGAATTAGTAGAATTCAATTTGCAATTATATAATATTATTCACTAATGACTTCTATAGGCATTACTTCCTTTTTATGTTGTGAAAGTGTTGATACATTACTAGCTAGACCCTCGCAAACAAGTATTTTGTAAATCATTGTTTTGAAAGTTGTAAAAAAACATCATACTGGAGATTTTTGCAGCTGACCTCTAAACCGTGCGTTACAACTCAGGGTGACCACTTCCTGATAAAACACAGGAAATTTCAATTTCTGAAAAAATACAGGCGAAAAGAATTTTCACATTCAAAAAATTAATTGTCAATATAGAATTTGAGCTAATGATTATATCTAATTGACAAAATGAATTATTTATGATAAAATTATCTATAAGAAATTTTGTTAATTATAAGAATAATTTTTAAATAACTATTTTAAGTTCATTAAGTCATTTTAAGTCATAAACTAATAAATCACATGATACTCTATAAATCATTGTCTAACATATTTGAAAATTTGCACTTAGTATAAACTGCAATGCCACAAGCTCTCTAAACATGCACGAGAGGAAAAGACTCGCAGCCTTTGATTTTAAATTTGCTTCGATGTGTTTGTGAAATTTTTGTGTGTCGCTTATTACAGGAGCTATGTATTCATGCATGTTGCATTAGGGCTACAACTGGCATTCTAAAATACGACCTTCAACTGCAGATAAAGAAAAAATGCCAACATTGCAAGTCGATTGAGGCATGCTTTGCTACGCTTCTGGGGCAAGAGCTAAGCAGAAAATTGCTATTGAAGAATGAAACTGACAGGAAATGGAATTAGAAAAGCGGGGTCAGAATGAGAGAGTAGAAGAAGAGAAAGGCAGAGGAACTGATAGTGCTGAATAAAGAAACTACTGATGCTTCAGAATGGCACAAACTATCATACTAGTTTTCTATTTTCTTTGGTTTGAGCTAGCTTTTTGGACTAGCCACATACTCTAGCCAGCTGCCATCTATAGCCAACCAAAGTACACATTTTCCAAAATTTCTCAATTTCTCATTTTCCTAATTGTAGAATCGAAATATTACTTAAAGACTATTGTAGAAGAGTAAAACCTTGTCATACAAGAAAATTTTCTTTGACAAATTTGGAGCAGTGTATGAGAAAATGGCATTTAAGCTTTACTGTAAATGTTAAATTTGTAGCTCTTTTTCACTGTCTGTGTCTCTCTCTCTTCTCTCTCCTCTCTCTTCTCTTCTCCCTCCTCTCTCTTCTCTTCTCCCTCCTCTCTCTTCTCTTCTCCCTCTTCTCTCTCTTCTCTTCTCCCTCATCTCTATTCTCTTCTCCCTCTTCTCTCTCTTCTCTTCTCCCTCTTCTCTCTCTTCTCTTCTCCCTCTTCTCGCCCTCTTCTCCTCTTCTCCTCTCTCTCTCTCTCCCTACTTCTCCTCTCTTCTCCCCTCTTCTCCGCTCTCTTCTCTTCTCCTCCTTCTCTCTTTCCTCTCTCTCCCTCTTCTCTCTTCTCCTTCTCTCTTTCTCCCTTCTCCCTTTCCTCCTCTCTTCTCCTCTTCTCCTCTTCTCCCTCTTCTCCCTCTTCTCCTCCTCTTCTCCCTCTTCTCCTCTTCTCCTCTTCTCTTCTTCTGCTCTCTCTTCTCTTCTCCTTCTTCTCTCTTCTCCTCTTCTCCCTCTTCTCTCTCTTTCTCTCTTCTCCTCTCTCTTCTCTCCCTCTCTCTTCTCTCTCCTCTCGTCTTCTCTCTCCTCTCTTCTCTCTCCTCTCTCTCTCTCTCCTCTCTCTCTCCTCTCTCTCTCTCTCTTTCTCTCTCTCTCTCTTCTCTCTCCTCTCTCTCTTCTTCTCTCCTCTCTCTCTCTCTCTCTTCTCTCTTCTCTCTCCTCTTTCTCTCTCTCTCTCTCTTCTTCTCTCTCTCTTCTCTCTCCTCTCTCCTCTCTTCTCTCTCCTCTCTCTCTTCTCCTCTCCTCTCTCTCTTCTCTCTGCCTCTCTTCCTCTCTCTCTTCTTTCTCTCTTCTTCTCTCTCCTCTCTTCTCTCTCCTCTCCTCTCTTCTCTCTCCTCTTCTCTTCTCTCTCTCTCGTCTCTCTCTCCTCCTCTCTCTTCTCTTCTCTCTCCTCTTCTTCTCTCTCTCTCTTCTCTTCTTCTCTCTCTCTCCTCTTCTCTCTTCTTCTCTCTCTCTCCTTTCTTCTCTCTCTCTCTCTTCTCTCTCCTCTCTCTCTTCTCTCTTCTCTCTCTCTTCTCCCCCTCCTTTCTTCTCCTCTGCTCCTCTCTCTCTTACTCTCGTCTCTCTGCTTCTCTCTCCATCTCTCTCTTCTCTCTCTCTCTCTCTTCTCTCTCCTACTCCTCTTCTGTCTCCTCCCTCTCTCTCTCTTCCTCTCTCTCTCTCTTCTCTTCTCTTTTTCTCTTCTCTCCTTCTCCTCTCTCTTCTCTCTTCTCTCCTTCTCTCTTTCTGTCTCTTTCTTCTTCGTCTCTTCTCTCTCTCTCTCTCTCTTTCTCTTCTCCTTTCTCTCTCCTCTCTCCTTTCTTCCTTCTCTCTCTCTCTTCTCTCTTCTCTCTCCTCTTCTCTCCTCTTCTCTCTCGCTCTCTCTCTTTCCTCTCTCTCACTCTCTTCTCTCTCCTCTCCTCTCTTCTCATCTCCTCTACTCTTCTCTCTCCTCTCAACTCCCCTCTCTCTCCTCTCAGCTCATCTCTCTCCCTCTGTCTCTCATCTCTTCTCTCCTTCTCTCTTCTCTCTCTCTCTCTCTTCTCTCTCCTCTCTCTCTCTCTCTCCTCTTCTCTTCTCTCTCCTCTCCTTCTCTCTCCTTCTCTTCTCTCTCCTCTCGTCTTCTTCTCTTCCTCTCCTCTTCTCTCTCTCTCTCTCTTCTCGTCTCGCTCTCTCTTCTCTTCTCTTCTTCGTCTCTTTTCTCTCCTCTCTCTCTCTTTCTCTCCCTCTCGTCTCTTCTCATCTCCTTCTCTCTCTTCTCTCTCCTCTCTCTCTTCTCTCTCCTCTCTCTCTTCTCTCTCACTCTCACTCTTCTCTCTCCTCTCTCTCATTCTCTCTCCTCTCTCTCTTCTCTATCTCTCTCTTCTCTCTGTCTTTCTCCTCTCCCTCTCTTCTCTCGTTCTCTTCTGTCTCTTCTCTCACTCCATCTCTTTCCCTCTCTCTGTCTCTTCTCTCCTCTTTCTCTTCCGTCTCTTCTCTCTCCTCTCTCTATCTCTCTCTTCTCTCCTCCTCCTCTTTTCTCGTCTCCTCTCTTCTTCTCTCCATCTTCTCTCTCTTCTCCTCCTCTCTCTCTTCTCCTCTCTCTCTCTCTCTCTCCCTCGGATCTCTTTCTCTCTCCTCTCTCTCTTCTCTTCCTCTCTCTCTTCTCTCTTTCTCTCCTCTCTTCTCTTCTCTCTGTCTCTTTCTCTCTCCTCTCTCTCTCTCTCTCCTCTCTCTTTTCTCTCTCCTCTCTCTTTTCTCTCTCCTCTCATCTTTTTCTCTCTCCTCTCTCTCTCCTCTCCTCTCTCTCTCCTCTCTCTCTCCTCTCTCTCTCTCCTTCTCTCTCCTCTCTCTTCCTCTCTCTCATCCTCTCTTCTCTCCTCTCTCTCCTCTCCTCTCATCTTCTCTCCTCTCTCTCCTCTCTCTCTCTCTCCTCTCCTTCCTCCTCTCTTCTCTCTCTCCTCTCTTTCTCTCTCTCTTCTCTCCTGCTCTCTCTCTCTTCTCCTCTCTCCTCTCTCTTTCTCTCT